ACTGTGCTGTGGTGGGTAGTTCAGCAGAGAAGTCTGGGTCTCCATGAGTCTCAGCCTTTACTCCTGCAGGCAGGAGGCTTCATAAAAGGAGTCATCTCTATGCTTCATGCAGCTAATGAGCAACCAGGAGCCAGCACCAAAGCCAGGCAGGCCTTGGGCTCTTGCTCATCTCCAACCAAATAACTTAGTATGGACACGAACACCTCCAGAACTTATTTGGTGGGAGTGAGGGAAATCAAGGCAAAGTACTTGGACAACAGCTTTGGTCAGGCGTGTGGTGAAGATGGACTTGAAAAACTTGGCAGCATATTTGGGAGTCTACCTGGAAATTTGTTGACTGTTCCTTCACCTTTTCTGGATCTGGGGAAACACTTTTCATTGAACCTATGTAAAGAGTCAACTACCCAAAAACTATGGTTCCTTTGGGGGAAAAAAAGATTCTACTCTACCTATTTACTGTAGATGTGATTTTTGAATAATATAGACAATTTTCTGTACTTTAAGGCTTGGTTTTATTAAACTGGGGCAAACCAGGAAATCTCATCTTTTCTTCCTCACTGGCTATGATGAAATTCATCCACGATTTACCTAGGGTCCCCAAACTTAAGAGAGGTGGAATTTGAATTCCAGGGCTGCAGCAGGTCAAGAGCCAGGTTTATCTTTCAGCAGGGATTACCTATGGTTTCTACTAGATTATTCCTGACATGTGGCTCATCATATTACAGGTTAAATGTTTAAAGGGGGGAGGAAAGCATGAGGCATAATGAATAACAGCTATATAACTCTCCTTCCTTCTCCCCAGAATAAATCCATACTGAGTTTAGGAGGTGCGTAGATTAAAAGACTGTCCTGACAAGCTATCAACAAACTTACCACATCATATAACAAGAGTGAACTTTAAATCTACCATTTTGGCTACCTTTGAAACTCACTGAGAAGCCCAGTCCTAATATAAAATCTCCTAGTGGTTCACATCTGGGTTTTGTAATTGTCATCTGAAAAGAGTGTTAGGAGTGATAAGTGAGTGGTCATCTCACTGGAATCCTAGTGCAGCCTTTTTCAGTAATGAAATGATATTGTATTTCTCCCCATATGAATCAAGGCTGAAAAAAGTTTCATGTTCAGCTTTTAAACTGTGTTTCCATAGCTGATTTATTTTGTTTTTAAATATGTTCCTCTGCCCTTGCTTTTCCCCTCTCATTTTATTTACTATACTCTAAGCAGGGCTCTGATTTCCCCTCATCCTGTCATGATTACAGGCAGAGTCCTCTGCCAGGGATTCAAAAATTGGTGGACAATACCCCCTGGGCTTATAAACTCACTGTTGTTCTCCTTCTGCTTTGGGGGAGATGAAAAGCGAATCCACGAGCTGCCAAGAATCACACCCAGGCAGGGACACAGTGCTGCAAGAGCTGGTCCCTGCTCAGTGTACAGGAGACAGATGTGACCCTGGGATGAGTTCATGGGGTCACACCTTGACCCTGACAGAGACCCCTCGTCCCCCCACGCCCCTGTGAGGAACAGGGAGGGATTAAACTGCAGGGCTGCAGTCCGTTTGCATGGACGGAATGAACAGACCCCAGCCACAAATCACTCCATATTTTAACAGGCTTTGAGAGGCTCTCCTTCTTCACTTTAACCCTTTGTGGGACCTCAGTGCCTGCAGAAGATGGATGGTGGGCAGTCCTCCAGTACAGGTGGTGAAAGGCTACCTGGTGTAAACCTACTTTTTCCATGTCCCAGTCGGGGCTGAAGGAGAGGGAGAATCATCCCCTTTACCTCTCAGGTCTGGGATCTCCACTACAACTGCCTTCCAACACGCTCCTCACTGACAGTGCTTCCCTTTGCCCGCTCACCAAACAGTTCCCCAATTTGACATCAAGCTGTTCCCCAAGGAGGCCAGGACCTGGTTGTCAGCTATTTCACAGGCATCAGAGCATAAGCCCTGCAGAGGACCTAGATACCCAACAGCTGTCAGATCACAAGCTCTGCAGTCACCTGCCAGCCCCCAGACCATCAGGGCTTGCCCCAGTCCTTGCAAAATCCTTTCACATGCTTTTTAGGTTGCCATAAGGAGGGCCAAGGGAAGAGCTTTTGAGCCACATCTGGTCTAGGAGATCAAATGTGTTTGTGCCCCTTTCTGAGGAGGGGGGTGGTTGCTGCATCTCCATCATGTCTATCTGTATTTTCTTGTCTGTCCTGCCACAGGCTGGTGGATGGAGAATTATCTACTCTCTGGCAGAAAAGTGCTGTGTTAATGCTGAGAGAGCTCACAGACAATAGGAGCTGTAGGCTGTTGACTTCCAATCTTTTTCATTTCTTTCTTCTCCCCCTTTTTCACTCTACTCCCACTTGGTCCCCTACAACCCTCTTCATGCTGAGGAAGGTGGTTGAGAAAACTTCTCTGAGCTATGTGTCAGTGAAAGTTTAGCTATTGGGCATAAAACTGTATCAAAAATAAATACAAACATCAGTCTTGACTGAAAATGTGGTCATATCACTGACTGACTTCAGCTCTGTAGCAAATCCCAGCATATCTGGTCCCAGAGTCAGGTTTTGAGCATGAGCTGAGGGTTAGAATGGAATTAGTGGGATTGGGTGTGCAAGTGAACGGTGCCAGACAGGAGATGGGCATTGACTCCCAAAAGGTGAGTGTCATGGTTTCCTAGCTACTAGGAAGAAAATTAACTTTACCCCCGCCAAAACCAGCAGAGTGAGACACAGCTGAGGATTGCAGTCAGCACCAGCAGCCCATCCCGGGTCTATAGGTTGTACTTGAGTGCTCTCTAGTGGACAGAAAAGCAAGTCCAGAGGTGAACACAGCTGATGGGGCGCTCTCTGAGCTTCAGTCACCCTCACCTGGGTGTCAGGCATTGGGTCTGTAATATCCGCACACCACGGGCCTGTGCTGAGTGTCTGGTGCAGGGTTTGGGAGGGCAGTTCAAAGCTGAGTCTTCCTGATCCGTGAGGCTGCAGGGCAGAGGTTTGATGCAGGAGCAGTGCAGGGTGGCAGAGGATACACACCTTGTCTGGTAAGAGCTGACTCACAGGTAACATCCCAGTCCCTTCCCATTTACGCAGCTTTTCAGTACTTCTCCTTGTGTTGAAGGAAACACCTGAAGGACCCGTTCCTGCATGTGCAGTCAGTGGGTAGAAGAGCACAGAGGTACTGTGGAAGGACAGTAGAAACACTGGTCGTGGGATTTTATGAGGAAGTGAGGGAAAATTATATCAACTCATTTACCAGCCACTGATGAGCCTCCAGGAGTCCTCTGCTCTGAAAGCCCTGCTAGTGCTGAACATAAACACTCTGAGGAAAAACAGCTCTTGTTTCATAGCACAAAGTGATAACCCACTGGATATAGCAGAAGCAAACTACTTCAGTGTGACAAGAAGGTTACTATGGAAGTCAGCTCACGGGACAGACCATAAAGTGGTTATGTAGTGGGTGCTCCCAGATAAGAAGAACTGTACTACTGAACCCAAATGTTCAAAAGGTGCTTGAAAATCATGAGATCTGAGTTTTGAATTCTGAGACTAACTCATCGCATTTTCCTTTTATTTCTGTGAAGTGACAGCTAAAAGATTTTTACGATGGTCATATTAAAACCAGAAACAGCCACTTGACTCATGAAATAGTTACGCCATTTACAGAGGTTATATGCATCTCTCCTTAAACTCTATTTAAAGTCTGACTTCTCCATTACCTCTGTGTTGTGGGAGCTATTATCTTAAGTTGCCAGGATGTCAGAGACTGAAACAGTTAATGATTTATGCATTCTAGAGTAGCCAAGGGACTTTTGAGGCTTCTGCAGGACTTCTGCATTATACCTCTGATGGCCCATCAAAGCCCATCCCCCCCTCTGCCAATCTTGAAAGGCAGGAACCAGGCCAGACACAGAAACTCTGCGCAGGCCCACGGAGAGGTTGGAGGCTCGAGGCACGGCCCGTGACAATAACCATGGGTATAATAACTCATAACTTCTTGGAGTGTGGGGCTTCCCTCCTTCACCCCCAACGGATCAAGGCCACCACTTCAACTGACAGACATGGAAGCGGCAACTACCAAGCGTCATCGCTGGACCCCGTGGGCGGTGACTATAGACATCTTTCCACTCTCAGCTTTTCTCTCTCTTACTCTCCCTTACCCTTATCCTGTCTTTCCTTTCTCTCCCTTATGAATTTTCCCCCCCAGAGGTTATCCCTATGCCATATTGCTATAGATGATATAGATGATAACACCCAAAATGCTAACATACCTGTTGAAACAAAATTGTTAAAATGAACCCTACCTATATATGTTTAAAATAAACCCTACCTATATATGTTTTCAAACACCGATTATTCAGTGTCGTTTCACTCTAATCCACCCCAAGGGAATTATTGATAAGAACCCCCCTCCCCTTTTTCTGGGGCGGGTCATAACACAGGATGACACCGCCTTTCATCAAGAGCTCCTCTTATATGGACACTTCCCAATGCTCAGACATCCTGAACACAAATAAAACTCCTTCAACCTTTTATTAAGCTTAATTACTTGTCTCCTATTCATGCTTTCCCTTTACTTTCTAGAGGCCTTTGACTGAAATCCAACTGCCTCCTTTTCTTTGAGCATCTTCTTTCACTTGGAGCAGTCATCTTTGACCTTGCCTCATCTAGTCAGAAACCACTGAGGTTCTACCACAGTACCACACATACCTGCAGCAAAAGAACATGGGTTTGTATGTGGGCAGTTATTCCGTGCAAATTCATTAACAGTTTTGTTACAGAGGTGCACTGCAGCTATGCACGTTAGGCTGCTGAATACTGACTGCACAAGTATGTTGATTCAGTTTGTTGAGGGTCCAGAAAGAAAGGGGGTGGGGAGGAGGGGGGAGAAAAAAAAAGGAAAATGAATGAATAAAAATAAATGAAGCAACCTACCAAACCAGTCAGCACTGGAGAGTTAAGAGGAAGGAAAAAAGCAAAAAAATCCCAAAGAAAATAGCCCTGAAACTTCAGAGAGTTTACTCATCTTTCCTTCACTCATACACAACTAAACTGAGGCAAAGGAGACCCACGAAGGTGAGAGGAGCAGCTGATTTCCTACCAAGTATTGGTAGGAAATCATAACTCTATTAGTGATGACTTTCAGTGGTATTGCTTCTTAGATTCTCTGCACATTCTCCCATAAGCCTTCCCCTGCAGGTTTCCGGTTGACAACCAGCTACACTAAACAAGTCCCAGTGCCACCGTGACTGATGGCCAAGGTGTAGGGTCTGGCCAACGTTCATCGATGGGCTCATTTCTGCAACAAAAAAAAAAGAAAAAATAGGGTTCAGTGGAAGAACTTTTGTCTGTTGCATCCAAAGTAACATGAGAATCAAACTGCAAGTATTCTGGGAAGTTGTTTCTGAAAAAGGAAAGATTGTTGCTCAGCTCCAGCAGGCAGCTCTATGGGCACATTACAGTCTTCTCCTGTCAGGTTTGATTTACGTGCACCTTTTATGCTGAGATTCACTCTTCACAGTCACCATCTGATGAGAGACCCTGCCCTAACCTCACAGGAAAGTCAGCTGATTATTTCAACAACCTCAGAATTTAGCACCACTGAAGCATTTGTTTTATTCATTTATTACGATGATATGGGCTGTGGAGTTATAAAAATCCCATATAGGATAAGACTTCTTAGGAAATCAGATAAACAGGCAGCCCTTGGACTTCTTCATGAGTATACTGATATAGTGCACACAGCCTCTCCAGGACAAAGAGGGGCAGCATACAGGGGCCAGGCAAACACTTCTGTTTAGGGAGAAAAGCCTCAGGTTTTGAAGCATCTTCACAGGCACTTGGCAATATTTGGAAGGACAGTGCTCAGTGAGCATGACAAGCCTCAGTGGGAACTCATGGCTCAGGTCCTGCTCTATTTTTGCTGTCTCAGGCAGCTAACTGCCAGCTGCTTACTCCTTGTTACTATCTGAATAAATTGGATTATCCAGGAAGCCAAATGGGGATAAAAGTGCCATTAGAGAAGCAATTCATTTAGACATAAAACTATTCATGATATACCAGCGCTTTCAGGAGCTCCAGCCCAGAGCTGTTTAACCTGTCAGAGGCCACATGAGAACAATTCACCTTCCAAAAACACTTTCTGGTGGCTTGTAGCACTTCTGGCAACCAGGACTCCTGTGCCAGAAAGGCTGCAGCTGGGGGATGGTGTTTACACTCTGCTTACAAAAAGTTTTTAGTGGCAAGGAGAGACAACAACTGGGATTTAAAAAAGAAGCTCACCTATGAAGTCTCCCCTTTTTGTTTTGAGTTCCATGCTCCAGATTTCTTGTTTCACGACAAGCATCAAAAAAGACTGTTCTGTGTATGCCACTTTGGACCTCTCTTTATTTTTACAGATTTCCATCCCATCCTAAACTCCTCTAGCTGTTCCTTTCAGGGGTGAAAAGTCCTAATCCACTCACTCGGTCTTCTTTCAGATGCTGCTCCTCTCTGGGGACACCCCTGGACCATGTTGCACACCCACTGGTGTGCAGACCTTGTTTGGCTGCATTGATGCAGTCTCAGAATCTGGTTTCTGTTGCTTTTCTAATAATCCCTTGCATATTAGTGGGAATCTTCTGTCCAGAGAAGGCAACGGAGCTGGTGAAGGGTCTGGAACACAGTGTGATGAGGAGCAGCTCAGGGAGCTGGAGGTGTTTAGACCGGAGGAGGCTCAGGGGGGACCTTATCGACATTTGCAGGTCGGTCGCTTGTCCCAAGTGAAAGGAGAGAAAATGGCCTCGGATTGCACCAAGGGAGGTTTAGATTGAGTATTAAAAAAAATTTATTCACTGAAAGGGTGGTCAGGCATTGCAACAGGCTGCCCGGGGAAGTGGTGGAATTGCTGTCCCTGAGGTGCTAAAAAAACCCGTGGATGTGGCACTTGGGGATACCGTGTAGTGGTGAGCATGGTGGCTGGGTTAAGGGTTGAATTCGATGATCTTAGAGGTCCGTTCCAACCATAACGACTCTATAACTCATAACTGCAGAAAGCAGCCCCCGGTGCGAAGCTTCCTTTCCCCCCCCCCCCTCCCCCCCCCCGCCCCCGCTGCTTCCCTGCAGAAGCCCTGGGCACCAGTGTAGAGAAAGCGCTGGGATAACCGAGAGCTCAGAAACCTGCAAACCAACCGGGTCTGCCCAGACTGGCCGCGGGTGCCGTGAGGGGCAGCAGCGGGACCAGCTGCTTCTTTCTTCCTTCCCAAAACAAATTTCGGAGCACACAGCCGAGGTGCGTGGCCGTGTTCTGCTCCCGGCTGGCGCTGCCTCGGGATGGGGCTGGGTAAGGCCAGGGCTCTCGAGCAGTGCCGTGCCCATTGTTTTAAGGCAGAGACGCGCGCGAGCTGTTTCCAGTGAGGAGGAGGAGGAGGAGGAGGAGAGCGCGTAGATGCACCGAAGCTCGGGGGATGTTTTGGTCCCGTGGGGAACAGGATGAGTTAGTGGGGTTTCCGTGGGAAACTTCCCACCCGTCGGTGTAGTCGTGGCCGAGTGGTTAAGGCGATGGACTAGAAATCCATTGGGGTCTCCCCGCGCAGGTTCGAATCCTGCCGACTACGAACCAAGGCCGCTACTTTTTTCTCCGCGTTCCGGACATTTTCCTCCCTCCCCCCGCTCGATTTGCACCGGAGCCGCCGCCGCCGCCCGATATCCGGCAGGGCCGGCCCCGGGAAGGGAGGCGGGACCTCCTCCCGCGGCCATGGAGCAGCGCGGCCCGGCACCCGCCGTGCTGGTCACCACCAGGTACCGGGGACACCGGCCCCGCCACCCGGATCGGCCCCGGCGGGGCTGGGGATGCCCCTGGGGATGCCCCTCCCGGGCCAGCTGTGCCTCGGCTGCGCTGGTGGCGGGAGCCGTCCCGGGAAAGCGAAGGGAGGGAGGGAAGGAAGGGAAGGAGCGCGGGGTGGCGGAGCTGAGGGGAAGCCGGGTGGCTGCTGCGTGGGTTTGCCCCGGGACATTTGGGATACGTGCGGATCCTCGAGTTTTCTGGCGTTTCACAGCCGGGAGAGATCCCTCCCTGGCCCTTTCCTCCTGTGATAACTTGGGGTCGCTTCCCTTCCACGCTGACGCAGCCTGTGCTCCCGCCCTGCGGAAACGCCTTTTCCTTGTCGTGACTCTGAGGTGGGTCAGAAGGAATTAGAATTTATCCCGAAGCTTTGGCTTCATCAGTGGTTTGGCTGATGTCCATTCCCCGCTGCCGTGCCCTGTATCCCGATCCCCGTGCCCACCGGGAGCCCCTCTGGCTGGAAGCCCAGTGATGGGCTAAATGGATTTTTTCTCTTTTCCCACCTTCTTGTAAACCTGCCCCAGGCGGGTGCAGAGGCGCTGTTTTCCGTTGCATTAAACTTTTAAAACCTGGGTTTTCCTAGATGTGATAAAGGAACCCTCGCGAGAAATGCCTCAAGAAGAAAATGCTTCTGGCAATCTTTATAGAAAAATGATAGAGATCTCTCTCTTGTTTTTTTCTTTTATCCCCACAAAATATTTGAAACCACATGAAAGCAGTTTCCTGTCAGATGAGTCATGAGAAGAAGTGTTGATTCAGCAAAGTCCTTATCTCCTAGGACATAAATAACAGTTATTTCAGTCTCATTAACTTCAAAGTTGTTATATTAATCCCTTAATATCTGGCTTCCTTTGGAGCAGTGGCCTTGAACCTTCAAATGTATCTGACTTGACTAATAGATATTTTGTAGGACTGACTTGATATTAGGTTTAGCCTTGGAAATGGAAATCTGAACACCTGGACTCGTTTTACAGTCTGTAGACTGTAAAAGACACACTTGCAAATTGTCCCATTGATACTGGAATACTTTCAGTGATAAAATGAGATATATATGTATGTGTGGGATTAAGACTTTAGCAAATAAACATTTTTTATCTTGTGAGGTAAAATAGCTCTACAGTTGTGACCTTTTCCACTCTTTACACATACTGGTTTTGAGAATGGGACTCCTAGTTGCTGTGGTAATAAAAATCATAGAATCTTAGAATATGCTGAGTTGGAAGAGATCCATCAGGATCATTGAATCCAACTCCTGGCTCTGTGCAGGACACCTCAAGAATCACACCATGTGCCTGAAAATGTCCAAACACTTCTTGAACTCAGACAGGCTTGGTGAACACTGCCCTGGGGAGCTTGTAATCTGTATACTTGTACTTAGACTATACAGAGGAATAAAATGTTTGGGGGTAATTTGTGTCAGATATTTTGCCTTCACTTAATGAATAGACTAGCTGTACAAGTTTTTTTCCTTTTGTTATGATCTGGAACACCATGTTTTGGCCCCCTTAAGGCAGAGGTTGTTGGAGCTGGGTGCTGCTGGCAAGGCTGACTGTATCGAGGCAGGAAGTGCAGAGTTCACTCTCCTGGGTGCACAGACGTTGGAATAAAGTTTCTGTGGTCTTAGCACTTTATCTTTTACTTTGCTTTCTTGCCTGCAGAGGGTATTCCCCCACTCCCCATCTTAGCCTTTCAGCACAGAAAGGAGATTAATTAAAGTAAAATTTAATTATTACATGCAAATCAAAAGACAGGAATGAAAAACTGTCTCTTCCATGAGCTGTGGAAGCTGCTCTGTTCAGCTGACCCTTACATAAGTTCCACTTCCTCTGTCCCTTGCCAGCCCCTCATGATCTGATTGTGCAAACACAGTGTTACTGGTATGAATGGTCTCCTTGTATTCAGGTGAAGTGATTTCGTCTTAGGAAGGTTAGCCATGTGCCCAGGTCTCCCCTGAACCATCGGTATTGTAGACAAAAGTGTAACTTGGGGATAAACAAGCTAGATTTAAATAAGGAGTAGAAGCAATAAACCTGTGTGTCCAATTTAAACAACCAGCTTTCTCCTTTTGTTGCTTTTTTTTAAAGGAACAAGTGTAAAAATAATTGTGTTTTATGTGAAAAATGCAATGAAACTATGTTCTGTCTTGGGATTTGCAGGTGCTGTTTCTGTTTGAACAATAATAGCAGTATTTAATGAATTAAAACACTGAGGCTGCTTATTTTGAAATGAAGGCATTACAAAAACCAGTGAGCACTTTGGAGAGTACACTGTCTGTCACAGCCTCCCTGTTGATTTCTGTTTAGAATCATTTTTATATTTAAAAAAAATCCTGTTGCTGTTGAAGAGGTAATAGGGGGGGGGTTCCTGTAAGAGATGGTAATGAAAGTGATCATAAGGCCTAAAGCAAACAAACAAAAATGTAGCTATTGCCCCTCCCTCTAATTGCTTCCCATTACAGTCACTTTATGTCAGACTTTTAACAACTTTAAAAGAAACCCGGGGTATAGATAAAGTACTTATTAGGTTCGTGACATTTTTAGGGCTCTCTGAGGCAACACCTCTTAAGGTGAAGTTGTTGTGTCATCTCGGAATATCTGTATGTTTTCAGCTGAGTGAGAACCACTCAGGGAGGATGGTTCACTGCTGGTTATTTGTTTTATTTACATAAGGAGAAAAGCAGGTTAATTTGCTATTTATACTCTGTGTTAACAGAAGTAGAATTATAGTCATTTAGTTTGGAAAAGACCTTTAAGATCATCAAGTCCATCCATTAACCCAGGACTGCCTCGTCCACTACTAAACCATGTCCCCAAGTGCCACATCTATATGACCTTTAAATATCTCCAGGACTGGTGACTCAAGCTATTCCCTATGTTATTCCTGAGTACCAGCAGACAAACCCTTTTGCTGCCTAAGCTGCAGGCACAACTTCTGAGTGACGACACATCTGGAGAGCATTTCCTCTGCTGCAGGTCTATTCTAAAAAACTCCATATCCAGCTGATTTTACTGGCAGGTGCCCTTTGAGTCAGCATTTTGGCAGAAAATGAGAACAGAATCAGAGCAGACAGAATAGCGCATTGAGGTAAATACTATAAAATGTGAGCGATGGTAGAGCTGTTGTTAAAGTCCTAATGTTTTAAACATGGATTGGGTACAAAATTTGGGACTGTACCCTTGTTGGTTGTTGTCCTATTTATCAAGAACTCTCAAGATACTCTCTTTGAAGTGCTTTTTATTAAAGTTTTGCATTGGAGATTCAGAGGTTGTCTTCTTGGGAAAGCTCAAGTTTCAAAAGAACTGGTCAAGTTTTAACATGATGAGAGGAGTTTTTTGAAACTTTATTTGAAACTAGATTGTTTAAACCTCTTGAAACTATATTTTAAGTTCTATGCATCGTGCATCCTCAGGTGAAAGGTGCCTGTGTTAAGGAATCTAAACTTGCTAAAGAAAGAAGTAAATTCCATAAGACACCTCTGCAATCAACAGAAGTCCATGGAAGATGGGACTTGATATTCCCCATATAGTTAAGGTTAAAAAAGGCAGAAAAAATTTTTAATGATTCTAGTTTGTTTTTTTTTAAATGATCCCTTCTGATTTCACTAAAAAGCATTCACACATGGGAAACACTGTTTTGTGCCCCAACAGCAACTGCTTGGTCTTACTCCTGATGAGTGAGAAATATAATACAGTTCTGGCATTCCTCTTACAAAAATACCATAGATAATTCCTCAGATGGGAATCTAGGGAAAGGTGACACCCTGGTTCCGTGGGTCTGAAGCTGGCAGGAGAAGAAAATGCATTGAGTAAACTGCTGCAGCAGCTCCTCTGTTGCATTTTCCTCCCAAAAGGAGACGTTCTGACTTTCTGGGTGGTTCTGACCGTTGGCAACATTCAGAGGTTAATGCTGTGATTGTCTATTTAACTGGGTATGAAAGGACAGGTAGTTTTGTTTCCAGTAAGATTTTCTGTGGGAAAGCTGAGATGTTTTAGCTGGTGCACCCTTAGGTGTTTGGCAGCTCCAAGGGATCATGTCCTCCTTTAACTTGCTCAGTCCTGATAGATGTTTGTCTAATTTTCCTCAATGACCTTCGCAGATGGAAACTATGCTTGGCCCATCAGTCTGCTCCAGCAGCTTCCTTTGCGTTCCAGGCTTTTATCTAGTTCCCTTGTTGCCTCTTCACAAACCTCAAGTGGTTCCTGTGCTCCAGCAAACTCCTTCTTCCTTTTGTGGCCCCTTTTAGCTTATTGTTGCTGCCATTCCTGGGAATGTCCTTAGACAGAGGAGAGTTGGATAGGGCTTGGCATGAGTTGTGATGAAGAGACCTTTGCCTCAAAACAAACTGAGATGAGAGATCATGGGATCTTCTTACTTGCCCTGCTGAGTAAGAGCATTTTCTACTCCTGTGAGTGAAGTCCTGTTCTGAAGAAATCCACATCTTCTCTTTGCAGAAATGCTGTGCTTCTGACATTTTGCCTGCAGTGGCCAGTGGCAGGTGCTTTGGGATGGAAAGTCATGGATAGGAAGCAAGCCATGTCTAAATTTGTCCTGATGCAGAGTAGGAGCAGTGTTTGGGCAGGGTCTGTCTGGTGTCCTGTTGCAGTGGGAGTCTTTGCACTGACTTTCTTGTGCTTTGAACTGGATCCTTGGAGAGGGTCAGTTAAAAGTCTTTGTGCCAATGCCTGAACTCTGCATGTATTTTCTTCCCTTAGGCAAATTCAGAATACACACACGGGGTTGGATTTGTCAGTGCCAGAATACCAGGAAATCCGTGGGAAGATGATGTCTGGCCACGTGGAGTATCACATCGTCGTCGTCACACGACTGGCTGCCTTCAAATCAGCAAAGCACAAGCCTGAAGATGTA